GGAGGAGAACAGTAGTGAGAAGACAAGAACCAGCTGCAAGGACAACTGGGAAATTTCCATGTGTGAAAAGCAGCTCGCACCAGGAATTTCTTGGATGAATACGGGCAAACATCAGGGAAGTCGCAAACGGCAAAAGGAAAAGGAAGACCCAGTGCATCATTCAGAGAACCAATGTATCATTCAGAGAACCAGTAATTGAGGCCCACAAAACGAAGTAGCCATAAAGAGTAGTCAGCGGTACGGGAGCTTTTCGAAAAACAAAGACAATGTCTATGAAGTGAGACCCATAGGAACCAGTTTTGGAAACTGTGACCCAACTTTATAGTTGGGGCCTATACGCTCCACATGCCAGCCCCTCCTCCTCCTCCTCCATTGCCCTATCCTCCTCTTACTTGAGCTTCTCCTACACCACCTCCTCCATCATGCCCTCATTTTCCTTGCCCTCCCTTCTCCACCTTCTCCCCACTTTCTCCTCATCGTGGAGCTATACTGTACTCACCAGCCTTCCACCCCCTCATGCACGCGGGATTGCCCTAAAAAGGTCAGCTCTAGGGCATCGGTGCATTTCTTTAATTTACACATGTCTGCTCGTGCGTGCACACATGTGAGGTGTGTGTGTGTCTTGACAGGGGAGGATGTTGTTGTAGGGCCACCCAGCAACGGTGGGCCTAGGCGGCTGGGCACATTTCTTGGTGCCCTAGGTGACACCTTGGCAACCGACCACCTTTTCAGCAAGGGGGCAATTCGGCCTTGACATTGTTCCTTTTTTTATCATGACCTGCCAAACACAGACTGAGACACAGCTGGTTTCTGAGTTTTGCTCATGGAATGTATGCCTTGCTGAGTTTCCCGCGTGTTGCTGAGTTTTCTAAGTCCGTGTGTGTGTGTGCTTGCTGGTCTGAAAGCCTGTCTGAGTGTTTGTCGGCTTGAGTGTGTGTGTGACCCACAAGGGCACTTGTTCGTTCAGAAGCGGTACTTACCTGTGGCCGTGACATTGAGGGTTGCAGCGGGAAAACACTCAAGTGGCAGGGAAAGAGGCCCGCGACACTTAGAGCAGGGGAAAACACTCAAGTAGCAGGTAGGCCGGTACCACACCAAGTAGAGGTAGACGTGCCGGGTACTCGAGGCCGAGCAGAAGAAGACAAAAAGTGGATTTTTTAGAGGTGCAGTAGGCTAGGTCTAGGCGGGTACCAGTGCAACCAGTCTGAGTCAAGGGCCTGTACGGGCAATATCAGAGTCTGCAATGATGTTTCCCTCCGAAAGGGAGGAGGTACCAGTTGCTTGGAGGCCGCACGGCCTAGGAAGTCACTCGCCAAGAGGCAAGCATGCCGCTATATCTCCAGGAGGAGCAAAGAACCCGTCCTCATTGCCGGTGTGCAAGTTTGGCGACACACTGGTTGAAGCGCTGGCTGGAGCAGTGCTAGCTTGGAGCAGCGCTGCTGGGGAAGGAGCAAGGACAGGAGGAGGAAGAAGACCAGGACTAGGAAGGGGGAGCGCCAGAGGTACTTACCTGGCTATGGTGGTTGCCATCTTCATCACCTTGGTAGGCGCTGCAGCAATAAGCCCCAGCGCGGGTAGAGCTACACCAAGAAGCTTCGAGGCAGAGTCAGGCATGGCGGCCTCAGCTAGAGCAGCCATAGCTGCTTGAGGTGCCTTCTGCACATCAGGGCAAGGCCCTAGTAGTCCGCCATAGCCTAGGCCTTCAAGAAGAGGAAGGAGAAGGGTGCCATGGCTATGGTGGACCTTGTGTGATACCTGCAGTAGAAGAGGGATTCGGACATTGATTCTGGTTTAGCCATTCAACAATATTAATTATTTCTTGATTTAATAAGAGGGGAGGAGATAAAGAGGAGGAGAGTGGTTGGCAAAGAAGAAGAGAATTATCATTGGTCTATGCTGGTGTACATCATCTTCCTCTTCTTTCCTTCTTCTTCTTCTTTCCCTCTCTCTCCTCTCAAGTTCATTCATTTCTTTTTGCAATTGGACGGCATTGTACTTTCTGATGAATGTGTACTTCGAAATTGGCCAGGATCATAGCATTGATATCGGAGCGGATTATACTTGCTGGCGAGAGGAGACTTTGCTGCCCTAACCCTAACCTAAGTGGTTGAGGGCACCACTTAGGGTTAGGGTTGGTCGTGAGGGAAGTGGGGCAGCGTGGTTAAGGGAAGTTGCCCCCACCTGGTTAGGTCGTGTGGGGTCGACACAGGACCTGACCAGGTTGCTTGAGAATAATTGGGGTGGTGAGACATTTCGTGGAGACTTCATGCGACAATTTGAGAGAGGCAACCGTGAGAGGCACTCGCACCTGGAATCTGATTCAAGGGAGACACTTGGCGACTTTAGGGCTTCCCTCAAGTAGGCGAGCTTGAGGGACAGCAGCCATTCTACATCACATGCTGCAAGTTGCTACTTTGTTCTTCAGCATCGGTGGGGGATCCGGCGTTGCACTTCGGTGTTGGAGTCAGACCCTCCTAGGAGATAGGACACTAGTGTAGGCGTAGCATTACAGGGGCCAAGAGGATCATATGAGATGGGGGGTGAGTTCTATTCATCTCAAAGCTCAGGCCACTCAGGTAAGTGTTGTGCACCTACGTGATGCCCATGTATGTGTGCATGGTATTGATTGTCCTGTTGGGGTTATTCTGGGTTTCTTTCCTACTCCTCTATGGTCTTGATTGTGTGTTTTGAGTGTGTGAACTACTTACTCACCTGATGGATGGAGAAATGAAGTATCTTGATTTGAATGTCGAGTCCTTCTATAGTGTATACCTTGTCTTTTCATCTCTTAACGGCGGTAGTCCGTGGGTTCTTCTGGAAGTTGGAATTCGTTTTTCAGTATGGTAGAGGCAGAAAGTAACTCCATGTGGGACTCCTCTTGGTTGGGACTCGGTCACAGCCTACATGGGACCCTTAGGGACCAGTGGGATCCGGCCCAAGCAAGAAGGTCCCCTTGGGCCCAAATCTGTTAGACATTGGTTTATTCTCTTTCTGACTGGGATCCGGAGTTTATTCTTTTGGTTAGGACACCCGCTGCCGAGGGGATCTCGGTCGAGACGTGTCATATGCTTTGATGGCACCGTCCGTGGCTTGACGTGCACCATGTACACCACTCAATTCTCCATTGTCGGATATCGTCACTGGTTGTCTAATTTGCGATACGTTCATGGAACTGATCAGACTGGACTCAAGGGGATCTCGTATTCGGACTGATCAGGCTGAGTCGCTGAGTCAGACCTCCCATTTGAATGATTTTTTGTTTTTATTGGTTGCTCTCTAGACCAAATGTAGTGTCACTCCAGCTAGGAGTTCTACCTTCTCTTCTTTGAGCTTTTCAGTTTGTTTATTTTTCTAAGTTCATATTTTCGGTGCCCGTAGAGACTCGTGGACAAAAGGAAGAGAGAGAGAGAGAAGGGAGAGAGAGAGCACCGGTCTTGAGGGACTTGCTGAAATGGCAGCAGTAAAGGCTTTTGTGGCCTTAAAGGCCCAACTGGATGCATCCATATGCAATGAAAGGTTGTGTTTAAGGAAGGAAGGAAGTTAAATGTCCTGTTGAAATCCCAAACCCTACACCCAAAACCCTAAAACCCAAAACCCTTGAATCTAAGACCCTTAACTCTAGACCCTAGAACCTAAACTCTTGAACCTAATACTCTAGAACCTAAAACCCTAGAACCTAAATCCTGAGAACCTCAACCCTAAACTCTAAATACTAAACCCTCAACTCTAAGCCCTAGAACCTATACCCTAACCCTCAGCACTGTGGGACTAAAGGACAAATTCCTGGGTCACCTTTTTGAGAATGGATGATGAACAAGGCAAGAACCAAGCTAATGTAGGGTTGACACCGCCTACAAGTTTTGTTGTACACTACACACTGAACTCTAAACTCTAGACCCTAGAACCCAAAACCCTACAATCTAACACCCTTAACTCTCGACCCTAGAACCTAGACTCTAAACCTAGAACCTAAAACCCTAGAACCTAAGCCCTAAACTCTAAACCTAGAACCTAAACCCTAAACTCTAAGACCTAAAACCGAAACCCTAAACTCTAAAACCTAAACCCTGAACTCTAAACCGTAGAACCTAAACCCTAACCCTCAACACTGTGGGACTATAGGACAAATTCCTGGGTCGCCTTTCTGAGAATGGATGACAAACAAGGCAAGAGCCAACAATTTTTATATTTACAGGGATTGTTTTACAACTCTAATAATCTATTCGCGCCGAGCAACAGGACCGAGTAGCGCCGTTCTAAACCGTGCCCACTTGGTTTGCTATCATGTGTGACAGATTTGGATCGCTTCAGGCCATCGATGGAGGCCACATCGTGCGGGATTCCGAGTTTTGCAGATATTTGAAAAAAAGCTGAAAATTTCTTTTTTTGTTTTTTTCCCTTTTATCCCCTCCTTTTTTTCCTTTCTTTAGTTGCCGGGGGGAAAAAAGCTGAAAAGTTCTGGCTGTGAACCCTACTCACTTTCACGATTTCATCCTTTTCGTTTAATTCAAAATCACTGTAGCAGCATTGCACTTTCATAAATTAATTACTGTAGCAGCGTTCCATTTTCATAAATTTCTGGAGGGGGGGAGGCGGGGAGGGGGGGAGTGGGGAAGAGGGGAAGGGGGGGAACGCAACGCTGCTACAGTGCTTCGTGTCTAGTGAAGTCATGTGCACAAAGTACTGGACACAGCCCACTGGCTGGCTGAGTGCAGCATGCCTCCAGAAAAAGAGAGGCGATGAATTCGATGGCTCCCATACCATTGGATGACGGGCGCACCCTAAGCTGAATTTTGCTTACTTTATCTCAAAGAGAGGAAGTTTCTTAAATGAAGTTAAATCTTAAAAAATGCAGAAACCATTTATAAAATGTCAAATGCGGGTCACACAGCACTGTCCCATGTTTAAAACGAGTGCTATTCGGTCTTGGCCCCTGCTGGGAAAGAATCCCCTCAGTACCTATGAATTTTTTTATTTTTATTTTTATTTTTCAAAAGTGGCTACGTCTATTTTGTTTATTGGGCAAATACTACGTATACCTAACGACCAGGGAAAAAAAAAAAAAAACGAATAACCAACGAGTCAAGGACATAGTAATTATAGTATTATTATACCTATAAAAAAAGGAAAAAAAAAACAACAACAACTTCGTTCATTACCTGTACAATTTGTTGCCCATCTCGCGAATTTCCCCCGCTTGTCTGCGATTCTCCATTGCTGACGTGTCATCCGCTGCTGCTGCTGATGATGAAAATGCCGACTTTGGAACTTTCTCTTCTTTGGGGAGAAAAACAATTTCGTGGGGATTATCCACATGGATCCCGACCGATCCGTCAATGAGTCTCTTGAAATAAGGCTCCTTGATCGCGAGTCGGCATCCCGACGGGAAAAGCTGCTGCAGTTCTTTTGGCCCATCCTGACCAGTAGCGAGTTTCATGTTGTAAACTGCAAAAAAAAAAAAAAAAAAAAAAAAAAAAACGTAAACACAGAAAACTAAAACCATCACAAAAACAAAAAAGAAAGGACCATAACCTTTTCCTTTTTGTTAACCTTTTCCCTGTTTTTAACCTTTTCCATTTTTTAAACAAAAAACTTTTCCCATTTTTCCCCCTTTTTTCTGTGGTCTGCTGAGTTTCATGTTGCACACTGCACCCAAAAAAAAAAAAAAAAAAAAAAAAAAAAAACCGACCTTAAAACACAGAAAAATAAAAACATTACAAAAACAAAAAAGAAATGGCCATAACGTTTTCCCCCTTTTTAAACCCTTTTCCATTTTTTCCCCTTTTTTCTGTGGTCCTTTTTCCCGCTTTTTTCCATTTTATGGAAAACGGACAGAAAAACACACGCAAACATAATGATAGGTATGAAACGGAAATTTCTTCACTGCCCTTCTTTTCCCCTTTTTTAACCTTTTTTAACCTTTTTCCATTTTTTCCCTTTTCATTTTTTTCCCTTTTTTTTCACCGGCCTTTATTTTCCCTTTTTCCCGTTTATTACTTTTTTTTTCTCTTTTCCTTGCAACAGAGTTCGCACACACGGAAACAACATTAACGTGACGGTCGTAAACCAGAAAGCTCACACACAGGGCCTCACTCCACTACTGTCGACATGTGCAAAACGACAGTGAATCTTCCGCTAGAACATGGAAAGATACACCGCCATGATTCTTTTTCTTTTGTGCATGTCTAGAGTAGTGGATCGAAGGCCCACAAGCACAACATATGCCGATTTTTTGCCTGTCTATCTCCGTCTGCTTCCCCGTCAACCTCACAGTTCCTCCCTCTCTCTCTCTCTCTCTCTCTCT